TGTACATAGAGTAAAATAGAGAATGTTGAAGAATAATTTTACAGCTGATGAACCTGGAATTTATCCAAAGTCAGATAATTAAAAGAAAAAAAAATTTGGCCCCCAGTGAAAAACAGACAGTAATTAGAAAGGGTGACTATATATTGCATAGGACTCTTATGAAATCCTACTTGAACAAGAAAAGATATCACAAGATTTACTGTGTCTACTTAAGCAATAAAGCAATTTGAGTTAATTCTTCATAGAAATCATTTGGGTGTGTAAAGGATGAACATAAACTAGCTTGTCTCTTATTGATATTTGCAATGGTTAAACAATACTCAGGCACAAGGACTATCTCTGCACTTAAGCTGGAAGCTTATATTTCCCCTCAACACTCTAATGCCCTTTACTTTTTGATAATTGGAATTCACAACAGAGGAGTGGAGTCCTTAGAAAAGATTTCTTTATTCTTTTAATGTCTTGTTTTGGAAAAACACAAATTTTTTGTTTGTTTGGGGTTTTTTGGTTTTGTTTTTGAGGGTTTTTTTTTGTTTTATTTTTTGTTCTTTCCTAGGACATGCAAAGGACAAAGAAATAAGAAGTAATAACTACAGAAAACTGGACAGCTCAGGTGCAATGAAGTCTGAATAGTGACAGCCTTTTACATAAAGTTGGTGAGGCAAAGGCTTTGTTTTAAACCTTCTGGGAAGTTCAATCCCATCATCTTTCTCCATACAAGAAGATGAGCAAAATTAATCCTGTGTTGTGTACAAGTTGGTACATCATTGTGGTGAGGATCCCACAACTTTAAAGTACTGTGCATGAGCCAAATCCAAGTGGCTTACATGTTAAGGGCATATGCAACTCTTAATGTGTTTTTGCTGTGTCTGTGTATGCTATGCACTAGATAGCTTATCTCAGAAGAGGATGTATGGGGAACCTGGAGAAAAAAAGACAGGCAATACACACACACACACAAATTCCTCCACAGTGACTACTTTTGTTTCAGGAGTTTTACCATATCAGAAGTGGTTTTGAGAAGGAAAAAAACCCATCAGCTGCAAGGAACAGGAGAGATGTGGAAAGATCATGGAGGTGGTGAGGACAAAGCTTGCAGAGAAGTGAGTTGCGGTTGCCACAGGCAAAGAGCAGGAGCTGAGTGAAACCTGAGTAACTTGTGCAGGTCCCTAAAAGCAAAGATACAGGTCCATAAATGTGGGACTCAGATTCAGTCAGAGAAAGAAACTGAGAGTTTCTAGCCAGGCAGACACCTGGGAAAGAGCTGGAGAGAATGTAAATAATTCTTTATCTCTCATGTTTTTCACATTGTTTATAGTTAAGTTCTATCACTGTGTGTCAAGCACTTTGCACCAATGTTTTGAATTGTTTTCACTTCAAAACCAATAGATTTAGTCCTTGTGAAGCTCTATATAAAAGAGCAGTGTATTTTGAATAAATCGGAGTTTTACTCTCAGCAGCCTTCTGAGTCAAGTCTTCTCATTCCCGTCCTGCCTCGACAACAACACATTAAAGAATAATACGAAGGTCAATTTTAATGTGGAAGAAAGGAAACAAAAGGATAGGGTACAGAATAAAGGCAACAAGATTAAAAAATAGGTAAAATAACATTTTAAGAGTCTGTCTTTTGTGAGGGACAAGTTGTTGGGATGTATGGACTCACTCCAAAGCACTGACTGCTTACATTGAGTAAAAACCTTCTGGATATGGCCTGGATACATGTAAGACAGTAAAATCTTGCAGACTTCAGCAGCCACAATCATGGGAATTCTGATAACTGCAGAGAGAAGGGGAGAGAATAGGGGCTTGCTCCAGTAAGACCACAATATATTTAGGGATTAGAGGGAGTCAGAAACCCAAAGGCAGGACAGGCAGGAAGTGAGGGCTGTAAAACAAGGCACCTTTGCAAGGGCACCACTAGAAAAAATAAGGCTTTGAGGTTGTAGGATGGTTTAGAGAGGTTGAGGAAGATGGAGGTAGTCTGTAGGTCTTGAATACATCACTAAGAGCTTGCACAACATGGTGTGGGTGGATAGATGTGAATAAGGTGTTACTATGGACATGTCAAGAAATATCTACAAACCCATTGTAAAAGCAGCAAAAACTCAGCAGAAAAAAAAAAAGAAAATATGTTGTCAAACAGTGGTGTCAGACTAGCAAAAGTTTTTATTTTCACGAGAAGACTGGTAATTTCTGATCAAGTTGAGTTGTTTTAAGTAGCCAATCCTTTATTTTATATGGTTCCTGACTTTGATTCTGATCATGGGGAAAACATACATCTTCATCAATCTAGTGGCATTTGTTGGAAAACATTCTCTGTGTTTAGATAATGACTTAATTAGAAAATCAGTAGTCAGCTGGCAGCGAATGGTGAGTCTTTATTTAAGAGGAAAGCACGGAAATTAGCCATCCATCTGTTTTTTCCTGTTAATTACCTCTAAATATTAAAATTGAATACAGCCTTCAACCTGATTGGTTGTTTGAGTGGTAATAGCTGTATTCACATACCAAAAGGAAGCCTTTAGTAGAAATAAAGATGATGCAGCTCCTCTATTTTACAGCTTTCATCCATGTTTCTGAAGCACTGCTACCTATGACAGCTGCTGTGGAGGTCACACTCAGCATTTCCAGCCCTTCAGCCACACTTAGGGCTTTCAATGAGCATCAGTCTTGGCAGCAGAGTTGACTGAGGTGCTGTTTTTCCAGGAGAAACATGACTGCACACAGCATGTCAAGCAGTGTTGAGCTGTGAGGCTGGTCCCACTTTGAGGTTGGTTGTTTGTAGGGGGCTTGGATTAGCTGGCCTCCAGAGAACCTGTCCAACCTAAATTACTCTGTGTGCCATGTGCCCTTAGGAGCAGCAGCCAGAGCTGGAAGCATCTCTCATTTTGTTGGTTTTCCCCTCTGAAACAGCTTGCACCAGCACTATCATTCCCACCCCTTCCCTTCTCCTAGCAAAGACCCCTGTGAAGCCCACCCCACAGCTGAGCTAGAGCCCCAGAGGCAGCCCCAAGGAACCTGACTGGGGTGCAGCTTCTGCCTCAGCTGAGTTCCTTGGGGTGGCTCAGACAGTCTGCTGGGGCAGTCTTGCACGTTTACTCTTCCCTTTCTGGTCACCACAGCAGCTGGGCACCCTTGTGCACCCAAGGGATACCAAAATCTGCTCTCTTCTAGCCATAATTGCTTGTGTGTCCTGTTTTCTCTGCCACAGTCAACTTGTTTCACAAATTGTGCTGACTCCTTGTTCTTTAATAATAAATTCTGTTGCATTTTCTGAAAGAAAAAAAATATTCTGCAGCACTTCTTACAAATACCACATTTTAATTTTAATTTCCAGTTCATTTTTGTGTTGGATTTTTGTTTTTTTTCCTTAATAGCACATTAACTCTGGGGAGCTGCTCTGGAAGCTTTGTTGATAGGCAGAGTCAGGATACACTTCCCTGCTTTCAATGAACAATTTCCACCTCCAACAAGCTGCAAAAGGAAAAACCATAATGGATGTCTGTGCTTCCTCACTAAAAGAAATTTTCAGTGGCTGAGGTAATTTTCCTCTCTTTTTAGGTATTAATATTTGCTAGCAGGGAATCTAAAGGTATCTGGTGGAGGCAACTGCAACAGTAGATTCAGAAGCACAGCTGGAGATGAACCTCCCAAACTCAGGCAGGGAGTCCTGAAAGAAGAATCCCAGTGCATGTGGGTAAGCAGCAGGTCATGCTTTTGTCACCTTCAGACTTGGTTTACGCTCAGCTTGTGGCACTGCATCTTTCCAGCCAAATGCTTTCTCTCACCAATAAGCATGTCATTTCTCAGTTCCATTTGCAGTTTATTACTCACATATTACTTACACTTCCTTGACTCTTGATAAGAAAAATGATTGTCATCTTGTAAATTTTCAAAACATTTTTAAGAGATGGCTTCCAGTGCTGTTACATCACTTTTGCTACCTTTAGTATTTGTTTTGATGGATTTGAGCCACCATACTATAGTTTTCACAGTTATTGGATGTCAGGTTGACATATGTGCTGTTACCTTTGTTGTGTATTGGTGTAATTCAAAAAGAATTTGTCCAGAAAAATGGACAGGGAAGAAAATTAGGGTGTAAGGCGGTAATAAATATTTAAATGGTGCTTAGGAGTTTCTAATGGACAATACCAAATTCTTGGCTTTGATTTTACCCCTTCCCAGACTGATTTCCACTGTATTTGAATTAGAAAATTTTAACTTCTCCATAAGCACAAAAGGTAGGGTACAAAGGACTTTTTGTCTCTCAGGACAGGGGAAGTAGGCCTGTGAAGGACTCCCAGAGCAAGAAATCCTACCAGAGCATCTGACCATATGTTAAATGGGCAAGATTGCCATTGCAAATTGTGAGATGACAACAAGGCATATATGCAGACTGCTATTTAAAATAAATTATTTTACTGATTTTTTTCCCTGATATTCAGAAATAATTAGGTTTAATTGATGTTTTTTAATTTCTATATATAGCTGGCCTGCTGAGAAGATATACAGTTGTCTGAGTTGGTGTGGGTAGGATCCGCATATCCTTGGGGTTGTGTACCACAACATGCAGGTGAAGTGTGGCACAAGTGAAAAATACCACCCCATAACTGACTAAGGCACAAGGCCTGAAGAAATAGGGTGAGGGGTATCAAAAGTGTGACCACTCAGATGTGCAGTTAGTTTTACAAGTATGATACTTGCCAGCTGCATCCTCTCAATTGCCAAACAACCTGCACAGGTGTCTGCCCAACGCCTTGAATGTAAATCTGGAATATTACACAGAGAGAGCCACTTAAACAATTCCTTTGGGTTGTGAAATGGGATCATTTCTAGATACAATAAACTGAACTTTGCTTTCTATTTTGGGAGTGTATTCTTGAAGAAAGGAATAGTTTATTCTGCCTCAACCCAAGATGGAAGTGGTGGTAATTTTCCTCCTAAATGGCTGTTACAGCTTTTTCACCATGCCATAGTAAAGAGGTGCTGTTTAGCTGTCATGGCCATGAACTGTTTATTAATTTTTAAATATGTATTTATTAGGTTTAGTTTATACAGTACATAATTTAGATGTTTGAATCTTAAATGGAAAAAGTATAAAAGTGAATATTGTTGCTTCTTGAATCGTCAATTACACAAATGTCTTAGACATGAGTACCTAATACTAATAATATTTTTTTGTTGTTTCATTGCTAAAAAATCTTTTCCTTTGTAGAATAAATTTATTTCAAACCCTTTACTATGAATAACACTAGAGATTAAAAAAATGGCATAATGAATTACAGGCTGAAGAACAGTCAAGCAAATAGGCAAACACAAAAATCCCCTTTATCAAGGGAAACAGTGGCAGAGTCAAATAGTTTTGCTCATTTTTAAGGCCAGGAGTCATGCCAGCATCTTCTCTCAGTACTTTTAAGTATGTTCTCGACACCTGATGAGCTTTCTAAAGGCCAGCTTGAAATCCTCATTAAAGCTCGTGTACAGCAAAGGGTTGATGAGCGAGTTGACATACCCAAGCCAGGTCAAGAAGTCTGCTACTTCTGGAGAGACAGTGCAAATATGGAGACCCACAAGCAGTTCCTTGATGAAAAAGGGCAACCAGGACAAAATGAAAGCACCTAAAATCAGCCCCAAAATGCGAGCAGCCTTTCGTTCTCGTGTCGTGGAGATCTGCTGCCGGTCACCAGCTGGGTCCAAGTCATTCTCGAAAGGAGGGATCCTCACGGATGCGTTGATTTTATCAAACTCTGTAGTTGGGTCAGACGTGGAGAAGTCTGAGACACAGAATGTCTGTGTGAGCTTACAGCTGGCAAAAGAGTTCTGGCTGTCGGTGCTCCTGTTGCTGAGGTGGCGGCTTGAACCCCGCTTTTGGTAAAGGCTCTTTGCAGCATGGTAAATTCTGTAGTACAGGATCAGGATCAAAGTCAAGGGGATGTAAAATGCCCCAAATGTGGAATAAATAGTGTAGATGACATGGTCATGCTGAATGCGACACTCACTGGGAATACTGATGCTGTGGTGATTTCTCCAAAACAAGGGGGGCATTGATATGAAAACAGAGATAGTCCACACAGTGACTATCATCAGCCCAGCCCTTTTTGCCGTTCTTTTCCTGGCGTATTCGATGGCGTCTGTGATGGCCCAGTACCTGTCCAGCGCAATGACGCACAGATGAAGGATCGAACACGTGCAACAGGTCATGTCGACGCTGAGCCAGATCTCACAGATGAAGTACCCCAAAGTCCATTTATCTATCATTATGTAAGTGATGCTCAAGGGCATGACGAGAACAGCAACAAGGAGATCTGTCACAGCCAGTGAACATATGAGATAATTTGCCGGCTGGTGGAGCTTCTTGGTTGTGGAGATTGCTGCAATTACAGCAGAATTCAGCAGCATAGTCAAGGTTGTGATTGTGGCCAAGGTCAGGGTAACGAGCATCTTCTCAGTTACTGTCTTTGGCTTTGCAGCCTCACTGGCTTCAGTGGTGCAATTTGTGAAATTCATTTTCCCCTCCAGGATGCAAGAAGTTGGTAATGAAGAGTTCCAGGTTCAGAAGTTATCCATTTGAAAGAGATGCTCTATATGCAACTAAAAAAAAAAAAAATATAATCCCATATTCAACAGAGCAGAAAAAAAACTTCCAGGTTTCTTTCTGGAAAGAAGAAATTCATTGTTCATTGTTTTCCTAGAAGATAAAAACACATCTGTTAGTCAAACTAGGATAATTCCCCCTTTTGGTAAAAAAGTTTTGCATTTCTAATTTTATAATCTCAAATAAAATGTTGGTCTGTTTTCCTTTCTCTTCTCTTGCCTTTTCTCTCACCTTTTCTCTGCATTCATCATTCATTTTTTTCTTCTCTAAAGGGCAATTTGGGCCAGATTTCCTGCTGATGTGACATGGTTATTCCTCTTTATTTTGGAGATTTTACTTAAAGCAGGAGGCTGGACTAATGGACCTCCACAGGTCCCTTTTCACAAACATGTCTATGATCTTTGTGATACTGATACCAGGAGCTAGCCCTTTTCCTGCTTGTTAAAATACTCTCCAGCAGATGAAGAGCTGAGGGAATTTGCCTCTTCATTTTAATGCCTATATGAGAGGCATCAATTACTTTTATATATCATCTTTGTAAAAAAAGCAGCAGAGCAGCCTATCTGAGCAAAGGCATGCCAGCATTTCATACCTTTGTATTCTGCTTTTTCATATCCATGTCTGTATTAATATATTAGAAACGGTACTTAAAAATTACTCGTTACTTTTGTCATGCAGGTTTTCAACAATGTTTAAAGCTTTATGGCAAATGCTTGGTTTTACACAGTACATCATTGTTGCTAGGAGCTCATATAGTTTTGTCTAATTATTCGTGACATTTCACATATCCCACTGTGAGTGTCTTTAGAGGAGACAGACAAAAAGCTTCTGCCATTGCTTTGAGATTTTCATGTAATTATGTTCCCTGTCAGGCAGTCCGGTGTGATGCAAGGAACAATAATTAAAAAAAGTTTAGTTTTATTTCAGAAGTTCACATGTCTACATCCCAAATGTTAACTGAAGCCAGAGTTAACAGTCCATGAGAAGCACCTTGGGATGACCTCTGGGACCTTGCTTACCCATTTGTAATTTATCTTGGCATAAAGGATGTGGAAAACTGAAAGTCAGAATCCTTATCCACTGAAATAAACAGAAATATTCCTTCCCCTGGCTTCATTTATCAGAGTAAGGAGGCTTCTAGGTTAGTTGTACAGGCTCCTTTTACAAGCAGAGGAAAAAGATAGCGGCTGCAGGAAATACACTCGTCCCCTCTCAAAACAAGCCCTTGAGGAAGATGCTATGAATAATATCCTGGAAATGCTGATCTTTCTCTATTTTCACTACAAGTGGTTCCTCCACAGTTGCATTTAGAATACATGCCTGATTTTTAGATGGCTAAATCTGAGAGGTGAAACCCATTCTCACTGACACCAGTGGGATTTGGATTAGGCTCTGGGTTTGCACATGCAAGCTAATGAGGAATTAAGAAATTGAATGAGGAATTATGCATTTAAAGCTAGTTGACTGCTTGGCTCTGTGTACATATGCTGTTCTTCAGAAACTGGAGTGCCATTTCAGAATGAGCTGAATGAGGAAAAATTAAAATTAGAAACTTTAGATAAAAACTTCTATTTGTGGATAGGCTCTAGGAAAGCAGATCCGGACTGCTGTAGTCTCTGGGTTAGCAAAATGTGAGTTTTAATTCTGCTCAAGGAATAGCAGAACTGCCTTTCTCCCAAAGCATATTCTACTCTTAAGAAACTACTTTAAGCAGCTTTAAACTACAAAGAGCCTTGGAGGAAAAATTAGGCCTGCTTATTGAATATTGACTGGAGAAGTCAGATGGAAATTCACCCATCAGTCTTCATGTGGTTACCACACATGGAAGTGTCAATTTGATTGTTTAGGGCTAAAGCCAAAATATCAGCTCAAATCTTCAGAAATTGTTCATGAGAGTCTTTTCTGTCAAGCCAGATTCTGATTTCCTTAGTTTGTACTCTTATTATGTCTGCTGCTTTGATCAGAGGATAAAACAAAGAGGCTTTCTCTCCCTCTCTGCACTGCTGGAGCACAGACCAAAAGCAATTGTAATTCATAGCCTTTCTTCAGCACTATTATTTAGTGAGTGTACCCCAGTCCAGAAGCACACTCAAGATGAGTGGAAGACACTGTGGAATTCACATCTCCTCCACAAACACTTGCTGGTCCATTGCCCACACAGGAAGTCTTGTGATGCTTCTTGGTGTGAGCATCACTCCTTCCTCCTTGTCCTTCACTCCTCTGGGGCCCAGAAGTTTCATTATTCGCACCCTGTGTCGTCCCCACCATTTTCTCTGCTGAGCATTCTCTATATACATGTTTAATGCAGTAAGACCTGAATTGCTGTGGTTCTCCCCCAAGATGGCCTACACTGATGTATCCCAAGGAAAATCCTTTCTGAGCTCTACCTGTTCCCTGTACCTCAAGGATACTATGAAAAATAAATTCTTGCTTTCCTTAATTATCTTGTATTTAAATAAACTTAATCAGATCCAAACATCAAATTTCCTTTAGGACAAAGGATAGAACATATTACACAGGGGAGTTGGGCTTTATGAGTCTGCTGAGGAGGGCCAACAATTTTTTTGCCTGGAAAGCAGTGCAATAATTGAAGACAAGGAAAATATAAACACACCATCATTCCTGCCTGCAGGCACCTCAGACCCTGCAAGCCCATTGTAATCCAAACCCATCACTGGAGAGTTAATTCAGTTTTAATTCCTGTGTTCCTTATAGGAAGGGAGCGCTTCACAATTCAGACAATATAAACACCACATAAGAGCACTAAGCCAGTATTATTAAGGAAATATATTTAAATGCTGAAAAGTAATTTCAGCTTTTGAGAGCTGAAGGTTTCTTCTACAGCTTAAGTTTGTGCCTCTTGTCCTCCCTTACCCACATGATGAGGATACACACTACCATTAGAACTAGTGAGTTATAATTAGTTGACTGTAGCCCTGGCTGTTCACCTCCCATCTCACCTCCAAGCCTGAGATTCTCCTGAGCTGCTGGTGCCATCTCAGCACTGCCTCCAGGACTCATGTCCACTCTCCTGCAGTGCCTCCTGCCCCGCCACTCTCCCATTGTCCTTGCTTGTCCAACTGTCTTCTCTCTACTTTAGAAGACACAGACAGAGAGTACTTTGGCCCAGGAAAGAAATTATGTTTTAAACTGGGAAGTGATTTACAAAGAGATGCCAGTGATTGACCTTGCTTATTAATAGAGGGCAGAATTTAAATGCTACTTATCATCAATCTTTTAAAAATGCAGGTGTGTTTGTGGACATAACATGAGAGTTAACAAGGAGAATTTTACTATATTGAAGCAATAATAGCTGGTTTCCAGCATCTCCATCACTTGCATACAATTCCTATATATAGTATTGCTATCACTATAGTAATTGATTGTGGTTTTCTAAGTAACATCTTGGAAGGGACATTAATAACATTTATTTAAAGTGCTCTCACTAAAAGCACTGCTGTGTTTATGTTTTGCAGCTGTATCGCTTCAGGCTGTCAGTCATTTCCTACAGAGAGGATTTTACACACACAGACTAATTTCCCACATTTGGTGCAAGAAACTCATTTGGCTTCCTCCAAATGGGAATCAATCATGTTTCATATTAGCTGATTATTGGTAATGGCTTTGAGTGCTGTTTAGGAGGAAGAAAGGGGAAAGAGTTTGATTAATTGTTCTTTAAAAGGAACTGGACAACTTGAGGCTATGAGATGGCAATGTCCATGTCTCCTCAGCAGAGGACCACGCGTAGCAGAGTACTCTGGATTTCTGTTGAACAGATTGACTCCCACTCCTTGGCCATTGAACCATTTCATAACAAATGGAATAATATCACTTGGAGCAAAGAAGTTGAACTGGCATTGCAAATATGTATGTACAGGGCAGATTAGTTCCTTTACATCCATGGTTTTACATTTCCTCTAAGCAATTATTGCACTGTATGACTGCTAGATCTTTGTGCCCTTGATAGCAATAAATCAGTTTGATTCTGTTAAACTCTGAATTGGTCTGAGTGCTTTTCACTTTCAATATTTTCAAGATTGGAGCTCTGAAGGGCAAGAATCTGTGCCATGATTTGTGAGACAGTTTATGGAAAATATGACTTAGCAATCTATGATAATGCTAATATTTCAAGCTACAAAAAGAAGCTAAACTTTCAGTGCTCTTCCTCTTCCTTCAAAGAGGTTTTCTCTTCCAACTTTATGTACAAAGCCCTGAAATTCAGGCCTTTCACAACTTTCTAGTGTTGCTTTTGTAAAGTCAAAAAACCCTGGACTTCTTGGCTCCTTGGTAATCAAATAATGCAGATGAGTTTAACTGAAGATTATAGGTTTCCAAATACTAAGTTTGTACTCTGGTATTGCTTTGGGTTTCTAAGGATGTCAGTCCGCAGAGGTCATGTTATGGATTTATATAGGCACAGATGCTGTTTGTAACATGTCGTATTTGGAAAAGCAGCATACAAAAGCTGAGAAAGTGGAGATGGTCAGAATCACACCAACCTATGGCAAAATTGTCAGCAAAACAAAATCTTGTTGTCACCAGGCAGCTCATATTCACATTCACAGCATGAGATTTTGATGCTGGTTGTAGGCAAAATGAAAGCAAACTATTAGAAGGTGCATTGGGGTTGCCTGAGAGAAGCCTAAACTGGGGTAGCACAATAATGGAAATCACTATTTTTGTGTGAAACCCAAAATTTTACAAGAACATGTCTGAGGAATTTGTAGCTGCATTATGGGACCATAGATTTAGGGATGCAACCTTTTCCTACACAGACTGAATGAGGCCAGGAGTGAAATTACTTTGAAATTTGTACGAGCTGACCTATAAAATTGACCTTCAAGTTAAGATTCACCCTGTGCACATCACTGAAACAAGCAGCATGATGGAAAGGTAGGTTGGAATCACTCAGCAGCAAGCAAAGTGTGTGGAGGCATAGCTGTGTGCATCTGTGGGCATCCTACTAACACTCATACATGTAGTGACCCTACCATAA